ACTGGTAGCTAACAGCACCTTCATCAAACATTCACGCTAATGTGCCAGCGCAATACCTCAGCATGTCCACCAGATGTCAGCGTTCCCTTGCACCGCTAATAGCACCGGAAAGTGCGTGTCATGTCCTGCCGAGAGACACCACTTTGCGCTGTATACCAGAATAAAGACGAAAAACTCCAGGACAGTGGTGAAAGACAGAGGCTCTCACTTTGTTCCCATTGGCTGCAGAATGCATATAGGGTGTTACACTTAGCATCGACTTCCTGACATATGATTCGTTGACATAATGACAAAGGGGGGGGGGGGGGGATTCAGCTATGTGTAGGAGAGGTTGGTCGTTTCAAGAGAGAAAACCAGGATTTTTTTGCTGACACCTTACAGGACCCTATCAAGACCCTATGAAGTATCTGTCAGTGGTGTGTCCTGTGCTAACTGTTGCTAAATGTTGACTAAAACTGGGTTTATGTCATGCATCATATTTGACTATGAGTGTCTTAAGAGTATGGATGTCAGAGTAACCAAGGAAACGATATCTTCAAAGGCAGGTGACCAGCTGAAGTGGCACCACGTTGGACAATCAAGTGACTTCTTTGGACTGCACCTGGCAAAAAGATACAGTCCTGTAATCGCACACAGATTACCTTCCCGCAATAAAAAGATAAAAAGAAGGGTGGAGAATACAGCCACCCGCATGGCTGATGGATGGTGCAGGTGGAGTCAGGCCCGGAGCAGACGCCGTAAATAATGTGTTTAATTAAGACGTCTGGCTGGGATTTGCAGAAGGCTTAAGACGACCAAGCCCTGTGGAAATACCATTTACAGCCATCAGGCTTGTCAGTGTATCATTTAAAAATGCCATCTTCTGTATGTTATGAGCTCTTTGTATAAATAACCTTTACATTTTTTATGATAGTATAGTAAGTTAATTAGACTAGTGTTTCCATGCAATAATTCTTGTTTTCACTCAAATTACTTTGGCCATAAAATATACTGCAGCTGAATTATGGTAGAATTTTGGGGGAAGGATCTATGAAGCAGACCGTGTGTTTCTGAAAGGCAACGTGACAAAGGGCCTCCACACTTCGTGGGTTTCAAGTAACTTTTCTGAGCAATTTCACGTCCAGGCCCGAAATCCATGGCTTCAGTAAATTTTAATAACCTTTTTTCTCTTTTACAGAGGATAACAATAAGCCGTAAGGCTGCAGTAGCAGATTCTTGCTGCCCAGATGTGCACTGGGCCGGCGGCAGTAGCTCTCACATTCCTTTCAGAGCTGAGCTCGTCTTTTCTAGGATGACAAGCAGCGGATTTGTCAGGTGTGAGCGGCCATGCAGCCAGTTCAGTTACAGTTTTAATTTATCTCTTCCTGCTTCGTCCCCAAGTTTAAAAACTCTGACGTAAAGGGGAGGAAAACTCTGACTAAATACCCAGCATTCTTAGAGAAAGTGGGTGAGGGTCTCAAAAGGCCTTATAGGAAAGTTTTTTAAAAACAACTTTCATGTGTTTTACCCAGATCATACAATCTCTATACACAACACTCATAATAAATTACAATACATATTAACTTAATGTGTCAATAGACACATATACCCTTTATTTTTATGTAAATATACATACCAAATTAATGTACTGTCAAGTCCTACATTCATGTACAATTCATATTAAATTAATGTCCTGTCAGACACATAAATGCGTAATAAATGAATGTTTTGTCAGTATTAGTTTTATGCATAACTATTTGAATGAACTCAGTTGAGTCATGGACTGTGGTCCCACACAGCTAGAATGAGCTGATGTATCCACTTTGTGTTCTGATAACACAACTGAGTTAACCTCACTGAATTTTCTCATCTCTAATTAAACCAACAGAATGTGGAGAGATCATACATGTGTTAAATCAGAATAATATAAAAGCAATATAAAATTTTATCAAGAAGCAACAAGCAATAAACGTGCATTTCCTACTAAAACCATACGTTACCATGTGTGGTAGAATGTAAAGCTCATGTAAAAGTTTTATATTTTTCCTGTCGGCTTTTGCCTTGAGTGCCTCACATGTCAGGCGGCTTTTGGTACCATGAATGATCCATAATCATACAAGACAAAACACTGACTTGTAGTAAAATTATACAAAACATCATGCGTTGTCATACGTAATTGAAATAAGAAACTTTATAGCATTATATGAAGTATGCTGATTTTTCATATGGGGGGGCGCCCCCTCTGGACTCTGTGCTACTTCTGTGCTCACATGGGGATCGACGGAGATTCCTTGAAGGAGGGGCAATTCAATGGAGCTGCAAGGTCGATAGAGGCCTGTTTGTCTTAGTTATTATTTATTTCTTTGTGTTTTGGATTTTGCTGGTCTGATATTTGCCCTTATCTGGAGATCTGGGGAGGGACTAGCTCCGCACTCACGGGCCTGGAAGGGCTGACCATCACGGAGTTCTGAAAAATATACCTTTTTCGACTGCTAACTTTCTGAAAATCAATCAATACCTCAAATTTAAACAATGTAAAGTTAAATAGCATGGAGCGTTTTTGCTTGACCTGGCATAGTTTATATATTGCTAACTCATTCTGGATTCTTGCATTTGTTAATATAGAGCTATATTATTACATAGTAATGTAGTAAAATAAGGTATCTGGTTAACAATTAGTCAGTTATCTTTAACGTTTAACAAGACTGGAGTTTTGAGAGTGACATCTATAAATCAGCTCACAAGAGGATCAGTGTAGGACATCATAGAACTAGCTGGTCCCAAGCGAATGGATAAATGAGCTGGAGGCAGGGATGAAGTTTGAGAACCTCCTGGCAGAAGCTGGTGGCTTCGGTCGGTTTCAGGTCATAGTGCTCTCCATCGTCTTCGTTTCTCGCTTCACCCTGCCCTGCCACTTCCTGGTGCAAAACTTCATCGCTGCCGTGCCGCCCCACCACTGCGACATCAATTTCCTGGATGATGGGGAATTCTTTGAGAACTTCACTCAGGAGCAGAGGATGATCGTCTCTATTCCGGCTGAGGAAGATGGCAGTCTAAGTTCCTGCCAGATGTTCTCACAGCCCCAGTTCCATCTCCTGCATGAAGTCACCAACGCTACAGCAGAACCGGCTGTTCCGTGTCAGAATGGATGGGTCTATGACACCAGCACCTTTGCTTCCACCATAGCGACTGAGGTATGTTACATCATACCACTTATAAACCGAAACAGTCTATCTTAATTCAGGCATTTACTGCAACATTAACCAGTGAACAATGAGAACAATCTTATATTCTTCTATGAACTATAAATTTCCTGTTTTAGTCTCCAAAACAGTCCATTACTCTGTAAATGATTTTTTGTGCGGATTTTATCATTGAAAAGATCTTTCGTTCATTCAAAGTGGGACTTGATCTGTGACCAAAGAAAGCTGAACAAAGTGACAGCCACCATCTTCTTCATTGGGGTGATGATTGGAGCTGTGCTCTTCGGCAGCCTCAGTGACAGGTAACTCAACTCACATGTTTCCATTCAGTTATATCTGTCTGTGACAGTTATTCTCAGGAAGAGTATCACTAACATCATCAGGCACACTAATGTTTTACTATGTGTTAACAGACTTTGATGCAGAGGTTTTCCACCTCTTCAGTTTTTTTCCCATGCGAGCACGTGCCTGCTGACGGCCCATGTGGGTTCCGCCGTATCGCTGCAGGTACGGCCGGAAGAGGATGATGCTGCTCTCCTACGTGTTGGGCATGGCCTTCGGCTTGGCCAGCGCCTTCTCCAGCTCCTTCGTGATGTTTGCCATCCTGAGGTTTTTCACAGGTCTCGGAATCACGGGAATCAGCATCATCTCCACGGTTCTGAGTGAGTGGATCTTCACTCTTCCATATAAAATCTATTTAATTAATGAAGTATCCATCCATCTGTCCATCATCCACTCATCCATCCATCTGTCCATCTAAAATCCTTGATGGGTAAAAACCTAGTTAAAAACACTTCACCCGTAATGTCAGCTCCTCAGGTTCTTTGTTGGTTTGCCTCACTGTCCATCTTATGCACATTCACTTTGTGTTTGAAGTTATCTTTGCTCTGCCAGGACAAATAATTACCAGCCCCTTGCGACAGGTAATTCTGTTAAGGAACTTTCTGTTGAATGTATATACCGTACTGTGCACAAGTCTTAGGCAATCTATCCCATGATAGATTTAATTAATTTTTCTGACACTTTTATCCAAACTGACCTACAGTAGAGGGAAGTGTTACAATTTTTTGTGCTCCCTTGGATTTAAAGCCACATTGTTAGCAAAGTGCTCAACTTTTTGAGCTACAGGAGCTCAGTATGTCCCAATATAGAACATACACATGCTTATACATTTTTGCACCTAGGTATTCAAAAAAAAATTTCAGCCGCACAAATCTGCTTCTCAAACTTACCTTTTGTTCCTGATGTTAGAAGTTAGAGGCTTTCCTTTGTAATTTTTCTATCCCTAATCCCTAGGCCTGTACCAGGTCAGTCCTCTGTGGTTGCTTTAAATTTTATAAGCCTAGCTACTTGGGTGGAGAGACCATGCTGTAACTTTGCACCCGAGGCAGGTGTGGAGTGGGTGAGCATCGAACACAGACGAGTGGTGGGTGTGTTGGACAGCCTGGCCTGGACATTCGGCTCCATCATGCTGGCCTGCATCGCTTACCTTGTGAATGACTGGCGCTGGCTAATCGTCGCCATCACATCCCCGTTAGCGGTGGCTATCGTATCCTGGAGGTCAGAAAGCAGAGCTACATTTCGCTAGCTTTACACGTTATTCTGACTGCTCCATTTTCACACTGTTCACAACTCGTGCAGGTGGCTACCGGAGTCCGCTAGGTGGCTAATAGCTACAGGAAGGGTGCAAAATGCTCACTACTACCTCACAAGGTGCGCCAAAATGAACGCAAGTGATGGTTTTGCATCTAAGATTAAGCCAGAGGTAAACTGACATTCTTTCTTCACTGACTTTTACCTGATTATCAATCTAGCAGTAATATCTGACTTACCGGAACCATGATGCTGGATGGTGTTCATGCCTGATTTAATTCGCAGGACCTTTCTACTGTAGTTGTGGTGGAGAAAGGAAAGAAGACTTACAGCTATCTGGATCTTGTGAGAACCCCCAAGATGAGGAGACTTGCTCTGAAAACAGGACTAGTATGGTATTAGCTAATTTTAGCTAATTTTCTTTATTGACTCTCTGAACAGACATTAAACGGCTTAGAAAGTGAATCTGTTCTCTACAGGTTTGGCATTGCCTCCACTTTCTACGGGATCAGCCTCAACCTTGCCGGATTCGGTCTTAACATCTACCTAACCCAGTTCATCTACGCGCTCGTAGAGGTCCCGACTAAGCTACTGGTTTATTACCTTTTGGAAAGAATCGGGAGAAGATACACTGAAGCTGGTGCTTTGCTGTTGGCGGGGATCTGTCTTGCTGTTAACGTATTTATTCCTAAAGGTAAGCGTTCTGTGGCGTCTGCCAGTCCCTAGAAAGTGTCATAATGAGTGTTTGCCCTGCAATGGGCTTCCTTGGATAGGTTCCAGACTCACCTCACCCCTGGTTTTGGAATTCTGATGGATGGGTGAATGGACATGTGGTCCTTCACCTACCTTGCCCTAATGAAGATGAGATCTTAAATCCATGTCTCCAAACTCTGTTGCCCATAGAGACAGAGTCTGACTTTGGCATCCCTCCTTAGATAAGTTATTGCATGTCTCCCTTAGATAAGTGGATCTTTCGGTCGATCATTGCGGTGCTGGGAAAGGCGGGTTCCTCAGCCTCCTTTACGACAATCTTCCTGTACACCTCCGAGCTGTATCCCACGGTTGTGAGGTAAGAGATCTCTTCTATCCATTTGTGCCCTAGTGGAACCCCATGGCGGGGTTCCTGGAATATGCACGCTGTCCTTGAACCCCTCCACCTTAAGTGTCTAATACTCCCACCTCTTTCCAGACAAAACGGCCTGGGCTACAACTCCTTCCTGGCCCGCCTGGGCGTGTCCATCGCTCCACTCATCATGTTATTGGATGAGGTGTGGAAGCCCCTCCCCCAGATTATCTTATGCGTCATAGCTATAGCCTCTGGCCTGACAGCAAGGTGTCTCCCAGAGACCATGAACAGGCGCCTACCAGAGACCATAGAAGATATCGAGCAAACAAGGTACGGGGATCTAACATCTACTCAGACCTCAAATATGATTCCTAATGACTGATTCCATGGTTGGAACTACAGTATAGGCCTAAAAACAGCCTGGATGTTTAGTAATTTCCATTGCAAATTTTGCAGTTGATGATACACAAACGCAGCATATTGTAACAGATCCTGACTAACTGACACAATATCGAGCAAACAAATGGATCTGAGTTCTAATCAAATGACTGACGACTGATGCCACGAATTAACTGTAGGCCTACAAAGAGCTTAGATGATTTTAGTATGATTTTTTGCAGTAGTGACGCACAAATGTGGTGCGTAACAGATTCCGGCTGCAGAGCTCCTTTTAAGTGACCCTCGGCAATTAAACAGACTGCAGTTTGGTTTTGCTTTGCCCTGTTTAATTACAGCTTTCTTACATCTCAGCGAGAAGCCTACTGGCTCCCCGGTGCCTAATGACGACCTAGAGAGCGCTGAGGGGAGATGAATCATAGAAACAACTGGGGCTCGTTTACGGAGGGTGTACCGTCATCTCTGCCTGGACAACGGCGGAAATAAATGCGTTTGTAACAAACAATGCTAATCCAAGACAGAGCTGCTTTCCTCTTTTTAACCATTGCTTGAATGCAGAATTGTATCTTGAAAATATAGGTACAGTAAACGGAAGTGTTCGTAGAATAATTCTACGCAGGGTGAATTTCACAGTTGCTTCACTGTTATTTTTAGTGTCATAATAATTGCCTGCAGTGTTTAAGCTCCTTCCATGAATATGCAATGTGAGATTTGAGTCGAGATTCACAGATTGTCAAAGCATTACTTTAAACACCTGAGGAATCCTACGTTTGTTCTTTTTTACTGTACTGAAGCCAATTCCTTCATCCATGCATCAGAGCAAAAATAGTTCAGAAATGTTTATTCAGGCAAGATAAGATATACGTCATTGAGACCAGGGTTAAAAATCTTTATTTATAATCCATTGCTGAGATGGTATAAAAAAAGATGGAATAAGAAATGAGGGTTATGTCGATAAATAGATTTTTCTGGAATATTCCGTGAGGCTGGATGTGGAGGATGGATAGGTAGGTTCTATGAGCAGTGACCCTTGACCACACAAGCTGTCTCCTTCCTTTCGGAAAGGCTGATGTGAACTTTAGACATCGTTACCCCAAAAGACCTCCTCCACAGTGCAGCACTTAATTTACAGAAGAGCTGCAGCGCCAGTCGACTGGCCAGGCACGTAACCTCACCAGGGTGTGATTGTCAGCTCTTATCCTAAGAAAACAGAATTCCTGTTACTTAATCACCGCAGGTAGCTCAGTTAACCCAAAAATAACAATTTGTCAGTTATCGACAAAACATTTCCTTAATCTTCACCAATCCTTTCTTTGTTTTTCTTGTTTTTTGAAGAGAGGGCATTTATACGACACACATTCACAGAATAAAAAGTAATAAGTGAAAACAGTATATTTTACAAGTCATTCTTGTAGACACCTGGTTTTTACCAAGTTCAGAAATGTATACACTGTATCCATTTAAAGTAAAACAGCATGTTCATAGGCACAGCTTTTAATATTGTAAAAGTAAACAAGTGATGAGGAGTGCCAATAATGATTAAAAGGCTAAGCATCCATTTTTAGTTCAATAAGCACACATTACAGTTACATTACAGAAAAATAGAATGTGATTCACTAGAATGACTCAATAAGAAAAAAAAAAACATTTAATCTCTACAACATTTCCAATATATTTACAGTAATAGAGGCTGGTAGTGCTTTACTTAGGACAGAGGACAAAAAAAGCACCTCAAAATCCAGCCTCGTATCTGGAAAGTTACGACTGGCTTGAAACTCCATTCTGTTCTGTGTCTTTATCGTAGACATAGCAGCCAACCTCTCCGATGTTCACGCCTTTTGGTCCAAACAGGTACCCGTAGCACGGCACATGGCAATAAGGCTTACCCTCATGCTGATATAAAAAGGCAGGTGTCAGGACTCTGGTAATGTACTACAGGAAAAAATTAAACATTATATCCCACACGACTAATTTAAATATAAACACATGTATTGTACTCTCCGGTTTCACTAGAGAATAAATCATTGAGGGATCATGTCTACTGATTCCCACGGGATTTAAACTGTCAGCGACTGACAGCCATTTGTAATCTCACCCACTGATCTCTTCCTTCTCCTTTATATCTATGAGCAGAATACTGGTAGCTAACAGCACCTTCATCAAACATTCACGCTAATGTGCCAGTGCAATACCTCAGCATGTCCACCAGATGTCAGCGTTTTCTTGCACCTCTCACAACGCAGACAAGGTCTGTGCCAGTTCCTGCCGAGTGACATCACCTTCTCCGCTGCACACCAGAAACAAACAAAAAAAAAAAAACTCAGCTGTTGCCCAATGTTGAAGACCAGAAGCTCTGATTTTGCTTCTGTTGGCTGCAAAATACATACAGTGTGTTATATGGCATTGACTTCCTGACATAATGATACATTGACATAATAACATTGCATGGCAATTCAGCTCTGTGTCAGAGAGGTTGGTCATTTTTGTCTTCTTAGAAAAGACAAAAAATTAAAAAAGAGGATTCTTTTGCTGGCACCTTACAGGACCCTAAGAAGAATTAGCGTTTATTTCATGTATTATGTTGCTTCAGGACACAAGTCTGCCTGAGAAACATGGAGGCCAGAGTATCCAATGACAAACAGTCCAGTAATCATACAAATTGTTTTGTCGTGTTGAAAGCATTTTGGGGAGGAGGAGAATACAGTCACCTGGTTGGCTGTAGGGAGGGACCACTGAAGCCTGGCTGTGAGCAGACAGCGTAAATAATGATTTAAAGACATCTGGGTGGGATTTACACAAACCTGTCATGAGCCTCTGTAAAAACACTGCGAACTGTACTGAGCCACTGCGTCCTGAGCCACTGCGTCCTGAGCCACTGCATCCTGAGCCATGCCTGTCAGTGCTTAATTTGAAAGGGCTATTTTTATATGTCTGAAGGTCTTCACGGAAATAGCTTTCCCCTAAATTTACTATCGCAGTTTTCATGCAGGGTATATGAATGTTTCCATGTAAAAGAAACAATGTTTTCACTTAAGCTACTTTGGCCAAAAAAGGTTAAATGAAGCTAAAAAAAAATACCCAACTACAATTTTCTAGAAGGTTCTCTGAAGCAGGCTGTGTTTCTGCCTTTTATGTGCGAGAAAATCTGAGGAAAAGGCAACCCACACTTGACGGGTTCCAAGCAATATTTCCAAGTGATTTCACACCCCGCCTTCTTTAAACAGCCACAGAGGCACACAATGTGAATATTCAGCACTGGAGCTGCAAGTTGGTGGACCTGGTGTAGGTGGAGAGGGGTGGTGTTTCCTGGCTGCCATCACATACAGCCTGCTCGTTCCATCAAGCCCCCCCCCCCAGAGACGCCAGAAGAACCACCCCCCAGTCTCCATGCGGGAAAGAACGCTTCTGTTCTGTCCTTAAATGTCACTGGTTTGAGGCAGAAGAAGGAAAATGTCTTCCCTTCTGGCTTTACAGACACTGGAATTTGGAGTCACTTTCACATTTTTTAAAGGGGGGGGGGGCGCAGTTTCTAGCAAAATATGCACCCTCCCACATGAAGTTCAATAAGAGCTTAAACATGAGGCAGGAGGAAGAATGGGTTTGGCTTGGAGAGTAATGCTCTGAAATACACTCGAGCTGCCAGAAGGGGGCAGGCTTATGTCTCTGGAATGATGGAGATGCAGGAAGAGGTTACATAAACTCTCTGCTTTAAATGATTAACCTGGACTGAACAGACTGACACCCCCCCTCCCCCTGCCGCCGTTTCTCGCTCCAAGCGCAGAAATCACCCATTATCTGGGTTCTAGAACAGACGCGCTTTTAGGATTTAGTCAGCTTATATTTGCATTAACTGCGTAGATGTGGAGAACCCATCATTTTTGTGACCTTTACACTAACGTTGCACACGAGCCAAAATCTGTCTCTCAAAGTCTCTGTGACATCAGTTAGAGGTTAAAAAAATCACTGGCTTCGGGTGGCTGGAGCGGAGCCAGGTCCCTCGACAGGCACATAAAACACGACTGATCCGTGCTACTGCTGCCGTGACCGCAAAGATCTCCCGAGGCGAGCCTGGCCCACCTCCCCAAAAAATGCGCAAATACAAGTCTGCTTTCTTTCACCTACTTACCAAAATATACCACTCTTCCACACCCGGGACAGTGTGACGTCTCTCCCGCAAAGGTCTTGATGTAGGGAGGCGCAGCTGGAAAAAGACACAGAATCCTTTTTGCACTTTTCTTATATATATACAAAGTGTAAGTATCAGCCGACGCTGGGGTGTGATTCAGAGCAAAACTCATGGTGATGAATCAGCGCTGGTGCAAATGGATGGTAACAGCTAGGGGGATGTCTGTAAGGGGGGGGGGGGGGGGGGCAAATCCACACGATTAAAGCTCATAGTAGGCAGTAATAAAGCGTCTCTTTGCGCCAGTGTTTTTCTGTTACCATCGCAGATGTTGCCATTTTAGCTGGGAGTGGGGAGGGGGCAGTGTTTATCCATGACAATTACAGGATGTCTGTGGAATTTTTCGAGGACCTCTCATAATTAACACTCTGGGAGCATCCATCCTAAATACACAATCCATAATCACAGTAATATTTCATATAGAGAAGGCTATGATGATGCAATACAATGAAACCAGCATGATTAACAGCCAAAACAAAAATACAGATATTAATACTTATGATAAATGAGATGAACATCTTTGGCAAAAGCTGTCCTACAAGCAGCCTATTCTCTGTAATGCCAACAATGAAACTGTTATTTTCTCCTGGTTGGCTTGCTGTGGAAGATGCTTTTCACCGCATGGAAGAAGGTCTGACAGACGTGCAACGATTTTGCGATTAAGCTCCATCTTACGTTCCCCGTCTCTCGCGATCGCAGATAAAGCGGAATTCAAACAAAACAAACGCCTAACATCAGATTTATAATTGAGTTTAATAGCTTTCAAGTTCAAAAAGGAGAGGTTTGATGTGCCGGTCGTCAGTTACATAATCATAACGTGACCCCACCCCCCATCCCAGCCTGCAGTTTGAAGGCCGTCCATCTGCTTGCCGGTCGGAAAAGGCTCATTAAAAGCAAATGTTGTTTCAGGAAACATGATTAAGGGCAGCCCATTAAAATTCCTGCCCACGGAACACGGCCGCCCGTCACGGCGTTGCCGGCGGCAACTCCTTCCACGCTGAACTAACTTTCCTATTTTAAAGCCATTATCTAAGCTTCGGGGCTGCTGTGGGGCGGGGTCCTGCGTGGTGACCTCATCCTTTCTTCCCTTGTGTCCGTAGACACGCGGGCCAGGATTTCATGTGCGCCCCCGGTGGCTGAGATTAAGTCGTACTGGCCTTGTAGATTCTCAGCCACGCTGGAGAACAGAATTCAGCGTGACGTGCTGTAACGCCCATTATTCGCGCAGATCTGAGCAGAAGACAAAGAGGAGTTCAAAGTTTTCTCTGAGCCGTACATCATGCCCTGGGCCAGAGGAGTCCGCTGGGTCTCTGATACCCCCAGGAGTTTAACTTCCCCTGATACTTACTAAAAGGATGTTGTTTCCTCCCCTCTGTTGTCTACTGTTTTCTTGTCTTGTGTTGCACTACTGTTTGTCTTCCAACTGTCTTCTGTTGCACTATTGTCTCGTCTTATTTATTTATTGTTGTCCTGTCCCCCGATGCCCTATCCTGCCACTGAGGCATAAGAATTTCACTGTGTTCCTCGGAAAACACATGTGACAATAGAACTTGAAACTTGAAACTCCTGTTCTTATATTTGTTCATAATTAGCACCCAATCAGTTTCTGATGCTTGTCTTTTGGGGAAACGATGCTGGGAAGGATGATATGCGAGAAAAATGAAAATTCGGAGGTTGGGTGCAGGCAGCAAGTTGTGAAAATTGTAAATCAAGGTCAACAAAAACTGGGTCAGAGGACGGCTGTGGATGTTATCCACTGTGGATGATATCTGTTGTGTTTCCATCTACATGTAGCACCTTCGAGGACCCAAGGGAATCGGTATGTCAACACACGGTGTACTTGTACATGGATGTATTGACAATAAAGAACTCTCGAGTCTTGAGTCTTGACTGGGAAAATCCAGCTGCTGGCTTCCTTACCTTTGGATGGCTGTCGGATTATCTGGGCGGTGGTCCAGGGGGTGGTGGGAGAACCATCAGATGGGCTCTCCATGGATGTGTTGACGGGGGTTGGGGATAGCGTGTCATATATGTAGGAGCCTGCACCCCCGATGTTGACGCCTGTAAGAGACCACATGCTTTATGGTGTCACAGTTACGAGCTTAGAAATGCATGCTGGTTTGAGGGGGGGTATATTTGTCAGTTACTTCTGAAATGGTCTCACACCCTGCTTCACAAACCCCCCCCCTCATCTGTGCTAGAACTGGACATTCTAACAACGGAGTAACCAGCAGCCCCCACAAATGCAGGGGGGGGGGGGGGGGGGGGGGGGGTGTGGTCGGCATGTAATGTGTGGGGAGGGAAAATGTTTTACTGTGGGTTGCGGATATTGTAGATTCCCTGTTTTAATGGTTTATCCAGCAACATAAAGAAGATGCAAAGAGCGCTGCCACAATCTAGACCTTTTCCGCATCCTTCCTGCTCCTACGTCACTTATATTATAGTTTCCGAATTTTTCATTTATTTAGTATGTGCTTTTATCCAAAGCAATGAACAGTTGAGACAGACAGTTGGGGTTAAGGATCTCGCTTGGGGGGGGGGGTTTAACGGTGACATCACTCTGCCATCTCTGTGATTTGAACCAGTGCAGTGACCCTCTAATCACAGAAATAGTGTCCCACACCTCTCAGCAACACACCGCCTCCTAAATATATAAATCTTATATCCACAATACTGTAGCCAGATCCAGCACAGCAATGCAGACAATGCTGGCGTCTTCCGTAAGCACTACATTGGGGCCAAGACAAACTTCACACTGAAATTACAATTTCCATCTGTCCCTAAGTGAGCCCTGAACTCATCTTCTTAATTAAGCCGGCCCCATTCTTATTCTTACACTGCCATTCTTATTCAGCTTAAAAAGATGAATTGAGCCACATCAGGGAAATATCCAATTAAGGTCTTTATTTTAATGGAAAAACAAAGATACTCCCACAGTGTTCATGTCAGACAAAAATGCCACAAAGATGTCCAGCTGTACTCCGAGACTTAAGCCTGACAGTAAACCTTCTGCTAATGAGTTCTGTGCAGCACCGAACTTAAGTGGATTAACCCCATGAAATGTATTTAATGCAGGTCCGTTTAAGAACAATTTACTGTTGTTGTTCACATCAAGTGATTCTTAGTTTTCTGAATCTGCAATTACCAAGCAAACAAATCACTCTCCTTTGGTTTCAGGGAAGTACGGGGATCAGTATGGAAGGAAGCGTCTGTCAGCTGCAGTTAGAGGCCCACGTGCCTCGGCACCATTCAAACATCAGGTCACGTGTCGCACGTTTTCCCCAGATACACAAGGAATTGGGTATTTGGGTCACTGCACCGCGAAGCACCACGTTTTACTCTACAGGGTTATTTTTTTAAAGTTGCATCGAATCTCTCGGCACGCCTGCAATCATTTCGGTAAAAGCGCTCAAGCAAGATTGTCCCCCCAAGAACTTTCCGGGGTTGTGAAGGGACATCGGCTGCAAATATGCACTTTAGGTTTCAAGATTTCCGAGCAAGTTTGTGTTTATGAGAAGCGGTTTTCAGGCTACTGGGGGTGTAGGTGGTGTTTAAAATGCTATTGTCATGCTGATGTGGATATTTGTAATTGACTTACCGCAGTAATGCTTGTATTAAACTGCCAAACAAAAAAAACTAGCACAGATTAAGCTTCCAAAATAAAACAAAAATACTAGTGAAGGATGCCAAAGATTCTGGCTTTGGTCAGCATCAGAAACACAAACGTCCTTGGCTATGGATGGACAGAGCCAAGAGCAAAATATTCAGTGGAATATTTTAAATCTGTTTTAAAACATTGTACAAGCGACCAAAGTGAAACCAAAGATCAGATTTTTACTACAGCAAATGTGAGGACACTGACAGACCTGGGTTGAGGAGACCCAATTAAATGTGAGGACACTGACAGACCTGGGCTGAAGAGACCCAATCAAATATGAGGATACTGACAGACCTGGGCTGAGGAGACCCAATCAAATGTGAGGATACTGACAGACTTGGGCCAATGAGACCCAATTCAGGCCCAAAACGTGCATCTTGATCCCTGGCTGTACAGGTCAAGATGGAAGTGCACCAAGTGGAGCAGCCCATTCCTTAGTTTTTCTCTGTCATTTATTAGTAGTGAAAACAACTTCAAGAGCTGACCAGGCCAAATAACAAACAAAAACAGAGCTGCCTAGCAAATGTGCTTCTTCACCTAACCCAAACAAAAGATAAAAATATACGCAACTTCCTTAATGCCCCAACTCACCAAAAACAGTGAAATAAATCAAAACAAAATGGTGTTGCACTCCCTATTTTCCCAGCCAAACATTAATATGACAGTTTAGCACAAGGATTCAAGTGACTAAACATTCAAATCATGAAAAAAAAGAACATTTAAGAAGTAATTCAACATGCAAGTGGAAATGACACGAGATTATAATTCATCTTTAACTAACAATCCACAGAACATTTTTAATGGTGCACCAATAAAACCAACAGGCCTCCCAAACAATCCACAAAACCCAATCGAACAGAGACCTTTATCAACTTTAATTTCACTGATAGGGGCAAAAATATCCACTGCATGAGATTCTTTTATTTTAGTAAGAGCGTGAAAGGTTTTTTTTTAGAATGTGAGGAATCGATGAGTAGATTCGTGACCTGGTCTTAATGGCGGAAAACCCAGCCGGGCTGAAATCCATTAATAGGAAATGTGGCTCCGAAGGGATTATGAGTCTTACCTTTTGGTCCAAAGAGAGTAGCGTAGCAAGGTTTGTGGCAATAAGGCATCCCATCGTGCTGTACAAATGAAAAGTGGGAAAATTTAATTCTCATACATAAAAAGACACTTATAAACTTATTGAAACATGCCTAACAAACTACTCGTTACCAGCCGTGCTCAATGCATCAGCATCTTCATGTTTATTGTAAGCGATTGTCATTACAGAAGTGCCCCCCCAATCTTGACCCCCTATTGATTGACATTTCTTGTCTCCTTTCAGTGGGGGAACAGCAGTGGCTGGAAAAATCCGCCCAGAATTCCTTTTGCGACCTTTATCCCACTCCTTTATTTTTAGCAAACGGCTACCACACATGCCACATTCCACACCCTTAATATGAAAGGGAAACACAATAATATCTGCATGATAATCAGCCCCCAGATAGACAGGGGAGGGTTTACACGTTGTCCTCCACTCACCCCCAGGATTCACTGCTACATCCAAACTAAATAACCACAAATAATAAATAAAATAGCAAGAAATCTCATATGTATAAGAGCCTGAAAGATACCCCTGACACAATCTATAAAATAAATCTATTCAAACCTGTTCTTGTTGGAAGAGTAATTTTTTAACATGAGTCCATAAAGCCGCCATTCCATGCGTCTAACCCATACAATAGTCCAAAAAGGATCAGATGAAGCCCCTTTCCCCAGTAAAACCACAATCAGTCTATCTCACCTTTATTAAACAGAGACAAAAAACAGACAATTAAACAGACAAAACTTGAATTGATGATGGAGTTCTCCACTCTGACAAGCTGAAGTTGGGGGTCAGTCACGTGCAGCTGCATCGACCCCCCCCCCCCCCAAGAAGAGAGAGATATGGATCTATGCACACAAGGAGGGCACCTGCACTCCTGAAAGATGAGCTCCTTCACCTCAGAGGCTGCATGGAGGAAGGGGCGTCCTGCTGACCTGCATTACCTTTGTCATTTCATGGGGGGGTGGGGGGTGGTAAATATGGCTGGAATACCATGGTCCTGACCTGCTCTCACTGAAGAGGGCACAGACAAGGCGTGTACCTATCCGATAAGCCCCTCCCCCATGCTCTACCAAGGCTGACAGAAACATTCGGTACTGGTACATGCTTGTGGGATCGGGTCCTGCTGTCGAGGCACCACCATACACCCCACACCCATGTGACACATCTGTTTGCCCAGAAGGTGCCCACAGCTGCCCCTGTGAGCCCAGCATCGTGCCCCTCAGAGCAGAAAAGGTGGTTAAGGCATGTGTGATGAACGCAGATGGGTTTGGCTGAATGAGCCGTACAGAATGCTCTCTGTTCCTAGGATTCACCCTCACAGACAGTGAATTATTCCGTGCATGTGAATCACATATTCCTGTACAGACACCTACAACAAGAATAGTGTGATTCCGGAGTCTGTCGATGGGAGGCACTGGGGTGACAACAAATGCGCTCTATATTCACAAAGGTCTCATTATGAAATATTCTGTGTCTGTAACACAAGGCCCCACTTTGTGCAGGAAAACTCCAAGATCGCCATGATAAGAAACTGAGCAGCCATTAGGCAAAAAGGACACTCTGTCTCCCCCCGACACAAAGGTCAGTCACATGGCCAAAGTTTGACAAACTTCAAAGGATTATGGGTAACAATTACAGGTACTCTGAGCTCTCAGTGCTCAATGGGGAGTAGGGGGGTTCCAACCGCTGGCACTAACCCAGAGACACAACTGAAAAAGATGAGATAGCCCCCCTTTCAGACAGACCTAGACGCTGGGCAATAGTCCCTCTGCATAACCCTGTGCCAGCTACATGCCACAAAAGACCAGCCTCACTGTTCATTTGTGAAATGGATTTAAAAGAGTGAAGGATTCTGGGAAGCAGCTAAATGTTCTATGAAAACTACAAAAAACGTATCCTTTATATAGCTGTTCCTTCCGGCATTCCTGGAATGGAGAACCATTTCCCTTAGCCTTGGCTACACTAAGCTTAAATCCACGCAATCTGTCTTCAAGGCCAGCTAAATACTCTGCCCGGCCAAAAAAAAAAGTCGCCATTTGAATTTTTTCGTTGGGCCGCCTTTAGCTTTGATTATGGTGCACATTCGTCATGACATTGTTTCCACAAGCTTATGCCACATCTCACCCTTTATTTTCATCAAGATTTGCATTCATTTCTCACCAAGATCTTGTATTGACGAGTGAGTTGAACCGCTCCATAAAGCCTCCTTCAGCACATCCCAAAGACCTCCAATGAGGTTAAGGTCACAACTCCGTGGTGACCAAGTCATGCATGAAAATGATTCCTCATGCTCCGCGAACCACTCTTTGACAATTCGAACCCAGTGAATGTTGGCATTCTCGTTCTGGAATATGCCCATGCCAACAGGGAAGAAAAAAATCCATTGATGATGGATGGAGGTGTAACCTGGACATTCAGTAGATTCAGGTACTCAGCTGACTTTACTTTATTGCTGCATAACATTGCAGGACTGTAATAATGATTCATTCATTTAAGTATTTGCTGATATAAATTCAAATGCCGACTTTTTTTTTGGCCGAGCAGTGTACAGTGCCAGCAGCCGGGCAGTGTACAGTGCCAGCAGTCGGGCAGTGTACAGTGCCAGCAGCCGGTCCACTACCCGTGACCAAAACATCAGTGTAACTGTAAGAGCCTCGGGATCCAATTATATCAGGATGGGCAGCATATTTCTGCAGCCCCGTTTACCCCTGTATAAAAGCTGCATGACTCGTCCATAAAACCCAATCATTTCACCACATCAGACACTAATAAAACGTCATTCTCCTGCCACAGACTGTGTGCGACGGAGGTGCTAATGAGGAGCAGACTAACCCTAACCATAACCTAGCTGGATTTCATTAAAAATGAACTAGGGCCGGCTTCCTGCACCTAGGGGAAATCGCCGCACAGTGGGATTCATGACTGCAGCGTTTCAGACCAGCGAGCCAGAAAATTCTTCTTGTCTTGCTCCACTACCCGCCACGGCCCAGCCTCAGCAGCCAGTGACGGGTGTTTAGCAGGGACACCACCGATAATGCTGACGTGTTTCAGGGCCTGGCTGGGGACCTCGTTCTGGGAACCAGCGGCATGACCACTTTAGTGCGGATTCCGCAGGGATAGTCTTCTGTGCCATTTCCCCAAAGGTATACAGAGAGCATTTTGAGATGCATTCAATAGTTATCACTGTTGCCTCACACATCCATGGATATGGGTTCGAATCCCACCTCTGCTCTGTATGTGTGGAGTTTGCATGTTATACAGGTTTCTTCCAGGTTCTTTGGTCTCCGCCCATAGTCAAAAGACAAGCAGTTGGGTTAACTGGCATCTCTAAATTGCCAATAGAGTATGACTGTGCCACAGACTGGTATTCATTTATGGTGGACCCCAGCCTTGAGTCCTGTGCTACCTGTGATAGGCTCCAGACCCCCCCACCCCTGCAAAAATGAGCAAGGTAAGCGGTTGGGAGCTGGATGGATGGATGGATGGATGGATGGAAGTGTCACTGTTATCAATGAGGTGTATACTGTCCATGTGTATGTGAAGGTCATGCCCGGCACCCGTGTATACGTGTTTCCTTTCACATTTCTCCTGAGCACCAAGCTGCCAATCCAGCAGCACAATAGACACTGAGCTATTTTTAGACGTGCGATCTCACTCGCCAGTTAAGGCCCGGGGTCAGTCGCCCACACGTCGAGCCGTCAGGGTCCAAAATGACCCAGGTGTGCAAATCAAACAACCCAACGTCAGAAGCAGAAGCTGCTACGCTCCTGTAGAGAATCTCCATCCTTACAATGCCAAAGAGCTAAATGGGGGAAATGGGAAAAGCACCTCTCTTTTACATCCATCGGTCCATCTTCTAACTGCGTATCCTGGTCAAGGTCATGGGGCCCGGAGCCTATCCCAAGCCACACCGGGCACCCTAGATGGGATGTCATATTTAAAAAGATACTTTAAACTGTTCATAAAGCTTCCATGAATGCAGTGAGAAGCATGCAAAGATTAAATCAAGGGGCACAACCAGTCATGCACATTTCTTACTACATATCGCACATGTGGTGCTTTTCCACTGACACCAAGAACCGAGCCGTACCCGAGCCGTTCCGCGAACTGACTGTTTTCCATTATAAAGTATGTGAGCCGAACCTGAGCTGAACACGAGCTGACATCTGAAGGAAAAACTGTATATTCTATACATTATTCATTATTAGTAGTAACATACATTGCAACATACCGATGCATTCCTGATAACTCGGAATTTGAGAATTCCCCTACTTACTATCCCCTACTTAAGAAAGTACTATAGAAGAGCTGAACGGAATGGAACTGTAAATGCATATTTACGCAAATGACTACTAATTCCGCTAGTGTTTGATGGTAACGTAATACGGCGATTCTCACAGACTTGCTAGTAGAAATTAGCGGCAAGCAAATCTTGACATACACCGTGTGAACTGTAAACCGGCGCCTGTTCGGATTTACGTCACTGTCGCTCTCCAAACCCGGCAGACGCCTTTACTGAGCCGACCCTTCTGCAGTGGAAAGCCAAAGCGAGCTGGAACCACACTCTAAGTAGTCTCTCTATGCAGTATGACTTGGGTGGGGGGGGGGAGGGGGTCCTCCCACTTGCTGGTATGGTCCTTAAACCAGAGTGTTTCACATACTTGCTTTTACTCCTTAGAGATGGTTTCTAACGGGCACTAGCACGGCTTCACCAGGGGCTGAAATCATGGCACCAGATCTGGCCACCGGGAGTGGATTTGGTTTGCCAGATTGTGCACAGGCCTCATGGGTCAGTGGGAGTCACCAGACAATAAATCCCTGAACCTGAGCTCTCAGTTCCCCCCCCCCCCATGTTGATGTTGCTTGCCATCCAGGCAGCCGGAAGCCCAGCCCCTTCCTGTTCCCCACGTGGGGCCCGCCTCAGGGGCTCGGTGTCACCGGCGTCTCCTTACCTCCGCGTGTCCGCCCGCCGACAGGGTCCGGTTACAGCGCTGGCATTTCAGGCAGAATCGGTGCCAGTTCTTGCCCAAGGAGCTCACTTTCTCAGCTGAGGGGGGGGGGAGGCATTAATGCACATTTAAAAGAAGAAAAGCTGAGAATGGTGCTAAACTGTCCTATGTCAAAGTCTACAGAGGAAACAAGAGGAACTCATTTGCATATTTATCAATGGAGTACTGCTCACTATAATTACTGAGGAAAAGCAAAACACTTTTGATATTATAAAATAAAAAAATAAAAATAACTCTACTTTAAAATTCTGTCAAAATTATAAAACCGATCACAAAAAAACAAAGGAATGTCAACATCTCCTTTTAGAGTAAAGTCAGAGTCCGTGTTCTATGCATCGTGTGGGTGTATCGCACTCGGAGTGACGACAGCGTGGTTCTCACACCCCGAGTGGGACACGGAGACAGGCGTTCATGTCACCGGCTTGGGGAGCGCCACCCCGCCCCGCACGCAGCCAGAGCAAGCCCTTAAAAAAAACGCAATTCCAAAATTGCGCAGCAGAGGAAGTGAGTTTTGGGAGTAGGTGGGAGTCGCCTACTTTCTGTGATTAACTGGGGGGGCGGAATGTAGCCTTTACACTGACAAGGATGCAAAATGCTTTGGGGAGGCCTGCCTTATATTTCCAGAAATCAATCCCTCTTCCTGCAATGATACATGTTGCTCTTTTTTAGAAGCAAAAGATACATGGGGCGGGGGCGGGGGGTGTTCCTGCTCGAGACAGTCAACAGCAAACTTGTGAACCTGTGGCGTCTGACCCTGGACGATGACCAAAAATAAGTATAACTAAGATTATAGCCAGATATCTGCCAGTTACTCTTTGCTCCATCAGAGACCCAACAGTCAAAAGTCTGAAGCTAAACATCATTTTCCTAGAAAAACCACAACCCCCCCCCCCCCCCCCCTCCCAATTTAACAAACAGATGTGGTAACTGGGTAGTGGGGGGTGGGGGGCACAGTTGACTGACATTTCTTTTTGTCTGTCAGCAAGGCTTTTAACTGGGCTTCTCCCCACTTTCAGAGTCAGTCAGCGATCCAAATTAACTCCAAATTAACTCAGCCTGTATAGGTGGCTCCAGCTGACTGAGTCTGGAGTCTGAATGACCATATCACAAAATAATGAGTTTTTCTTTGGAGGGGGTTAGGGGTATGCACAAAAGAAAATGGCGTATTCAGTTTCCAGTGCTGTGCCGTTACCTCCACACGCTGCCCAACTCGGAGGTCGATGAAGCGGATTGACGACAGGATGAAAAGGAACGGCCAGACTTCACCTCAATAACATTCTCAATAACATCTTTATTTGGTCTCGTGAAATTTAGAGCAACGTTGCCCTTCCAGAAACAGTCTTGGACCTTCGTGTTAGAATAAGGAAGCTTAACAGACTGCCAATGCAAACAAACAAATCCATTCTGGGAAATGAACGTTGAGTTTTCTCTCTCGCATTTGTCAAAAGCGAACAGCCAAAGGATTTAAGACATGGGATCAGAGATTGTAAATTAAGAACTTGACTGTAGCTTTAGTTCAGTCAAGTTCTACTAAACCTAAATCCAATGACTGTCTAGGCTTCTCAGGAGGACACAATAATAACTCAATGAATGCATAGCTGCAGATCATCAAAGGGGTAATACAGGCAGACCCGGTTTTATATGACCTCTCAAACCAGCTCTTCAGAGCAACTTTAGTTGCATTAAATCAAAACAAAGCTACATACTTGGAGACTTCAGCTAGGTTCCAAGCCCTGCTTTACAATTGACTATTTAAACGTGACACGGTAAAACACAAATACTTAACACGGGAGCATAAATTCTTTACTTAAGCATAAAACATTACTCCTAAACGACGGGTAAACTACAGAGCAAAACTTAAAACGTAGTGCCGCAATCACAGCCTCACGTGAGCGCTGCGCGATGGAGATGCCAGGCATCGTTTATAAAGTCATCTGAAACGCATTTTCTTTCCCCTGGTAAAACAGCACCTTTGATGATGTGACAGCTCGAGTGGAATACGAAGGAATCAGAGATGTTTCCATGTTGGAATAGCATCAGGGGAAGGTTTGGAAAGACTTGGTGGGAACAATCTGATGGAGCTAAAACGTGCCCCTTAAAGGGTGCAGCGGTCCGGTGTCCTCGGTTACAGTGGCAAGCGGCCTGAATAGTTCCTGTCACAGAGGCCCTGGCAGCGACAATGCAGTGGCGGTGCTGCCCAGCCGCCCTCCGGTGCCAAGCAGCTTATATAACCATTTGTTTCCCTTCTGTCTGAGGTGGCTGATGCAGAATATAGATTAGGTCTCGGACATAGTTGTCCATTAACGTGAGAAACCGCCGCGAAAGTTTATCAGACCACGGCCACTTGGTAATTGTCTTTCGCGTAGTCAAACGTCCAAAGATAACAGACTGGTGAGGCTGTACCTAACAGTGTAGGCTATTTCCTTTCACAGACATTTAAGCCCTGATTGAAAAGTACAACGTGTTGTCAAGCTAGAACAATAACTGAGCAAAATGGTGTTTTTCATCAATGTATTTCAAGAGTGAGGCCAGCGATTGAAGACTGCATAATAATTTAGAAAAATGTTGTAACTTTAACTTTAGGCATCTCAGATGTCTTTCTATAATTGCCATATCCAAAAACACTTTCAAGTGATGTTATTTTAACATAATGCAACTGCATGTCGTGAAAAACATGCATATAGCTTACAATAAAGTACAAAAATAAAATTCAAAACAGCTTGTTGCAAATATGCATGCGCCTGTTAATATCGACCTGTCAAGCGGAGTCTAGAGCCATATATTCTTTATCGCAGTGAACGTTGTCCAGCTGTATGTTTATAAAAAAAAATACAATAGCATCTTACCAAAAAACACCGGCTTTTCGCATCTGGGACACTTGGAGGTCATTTTGCATAAATAAGATTGATCTCAGTCCAGTTAATGTATGATAAGAGTACCGGGAGCGCTTCGGGTCCCCCGCAGATGCAGAGAAAAAGCTCCGCGCCACCCAAGTTTCCCAACTTTAAAGTACCGGAACGCCCCGCCTCCGTTGCGGTCCTGTAGACGCGGGTTTGGCTCTTTCGCTTTTGATAGGTTCCCGCAGACATCACTTAGCTGCGGTTCGGAACCTTCCAGGCTCCTCTCGCCGAACCGCCAGCGCCGGCACCGGGAGGAAGATGTGGCCAGTGCCCGCGTGTCGGCACCAGCGCGCCGCTCAGACTGGGAAAGGCGTCTTTAATACCTTAAGTGTAGAGATGACGAGGTAATTCCGAGTAACCAGTCAAAGGGAAGAGATACACGTAGTTAAATATTTATTGCTACCTTTTTTTCGTTCTTCCGTTTCTTCAAACGCGTATCATTCTACATTTTTTTTGTAAAACTTGTGTGAGCAGATGCGTCCCCGACGAAAGGGAAGAATACAGTTTACAGGAAATCTTTGAACGGCCCTGAGTTTACATGTCCACACTTTTTTGATAACTATCGGGGGCTTTGAAACAATGGATGGCGTCTTATAGCTGAAAAAACAAAATCTGGACTCATTGTCAGAACAAAAGAAAGGAAGTTTTTGAACTATGAATTAAACGCAGCTGGGGATGTTTGTTACTTAATTCTCCAGAAGAGATTGTATCTTACTATGTTTTTCAACACATGGGATGAAAAATGAACATACAATCAAAGGTTTATATACCCGTACAATCCAGGTCCACCTAAGATCTGAGCCTCGTTTTTGGCGTCCTGTAAGCCCCATTAATGAACATTTATTTCGTATCATCGTACAACCTTGTTTTGAATGTATTACGGTGCCTTGTTCTTGTCATGGCTATAATAAGCTTTGTAATGCAATTCCTGTCTCAATGCAATTCCTGTCTTCCTGTCTATGAAAAGTGTTGTTATGGGTACAAGACATCAGTTGTATGTTTTTCGTAAATAATTACTTCCATGTTTACCGACCTCTATATTCTCCCATTTGTGATCATCCGATACCAGTATAAATATTGCAGCATCCAAGTTCATTGAGAAGCAGGTATTTCCAATACCAATACATCTTGCAAATCATTCGTTAAAATCTTGTAGTGGGGAGGGGGAGGGGTGGTTGCTTGGGACTGAGGACAGAGATCACGTTTCCTCTTCTTGCAGCCCTGAGTTTGTTTACACGACCGCGTCCTATTGAAATGTATCCTTCCGTATCTTTTGAAAGGCCTCTGCAAAGGAGAATGGGACAGGGAGACGATGATACCTTCTCGAAGAATCTACGTAAAGATTACATTTCTAAATTTGGGCTTGAAGGAATGAAGAATAGAAATACAGCTCTGTGTAACTTGCTTTGGTAGTACTGTATGCCTTTATCACCAGTTCACACCATTGACCCACAAAGTTGAGGCATGAAACGCACGCCGATTACACCACTTTATGACGGATTCGGGGTTCCCTCTAGCGGAAGATATGGGCATTTGCACAGAGATTGCATCAAATCCGAATTACACTAACACGTTTTGATTTACGGGGAGACACCTAATCGGATTTGCCATTTCACTAATTAGAGTGTTGCATTTCATCTAAATTCCTTAATTGTTTCAAAATACCTTTCATGCAGTTGAAAGGTATCCCTGTTAATGTTCACAGGAATACGAAACCCATGGGAAACCAGAATCCAGTGCCCGGTCAAAGCAAACTTTCCCACCGACATTCCAATATTGGAGTTAACAATGTAACAACATCTGTCCAATTCCGTAGTCAATTATAGCTCATGCACGAGGAAACGCACAGATCTTCGCGCAAACACTTCGT